CTTTATCAATTAAAAGAATCCACATTTGATTGACACAGCTGGTTGATTATATCTCATCACAATATTTTTTAAGACAACCTTTTTTCTGTAGAACAAGTCGTTAAAAAGGGGAGAGCAGTTGGTTCCCATTAGAAGTCCTCCAAACGTTACAAATATGTCCCAGAGAATTTTCTGTTTGAATCCGTGTAGTGTTTTACAAAGCAGGATTTATCTTCCCTTAATGAAGATATTTGTTTCTACGTTTGCTATTATTTTTTATGGAATGAAGTTAGACTGATTCTTTCCATCTGTCTTCAAGTTTGAAATGGGTAATACTTGTGTAAAGAGTAGAAAATTCAATGTTTTATATTATTGCAAGATGAAAGAGACTTATATTGTATGTGCTCTTAGACTAATAGATCTTTGGATTTTTTTAGTATCTACATCTGATTGATACCGCCACTAGAGTAGGTTGTTTAACAATAACTCTGAAAACCCAGCTTTTATTGCTGATAAACATGTTAATAGTTTGGAAAGGGGTTTAGCAGATCACTTGGCAGACCCAGCAATATTACGTTTTTGAAGACACTTATGTAACTTAGGTATCCAATAAAGTGACAGAAGATTAAGTCCTTCATATTTGGTTTAAACTCCAAAGGAAAATATACCAGACCCATGATTATTCTAGATGTCTTCTTTCATAAGTGCCACGAGGTTAACATTTGTTAATCTTAAGTTGTAATAGGTGAGATATATGTGAAATAGATGACTTGAACAGATAACGAAAATATTTTATTATGGACGCCATCACGGGGTTTGGTTGACCGTTATGGAATATCTGTGTCACGGAATCCAACAGTTCCAATTGTCGTAACCACAATACTGTTCTCTTGAGACTTCACCGGATTTGTACTTGCTTGAGCAACACGACAGGTGCCACACGTGGACAAGAAACGACGTACCTTTCCACAGCTCTTGAGTTTACCCCTGGTTTTTGTTTGGGATCGTGTTGCTCAATCTTTAGTTTTCTATGTAGTCTTTTGAATTTGTTCGTCTTTTTGTTGTATTTGCGCTTTTTGCCATTGCGTTGTCAGTTTTTCTGAAATTAATTATTAATTTCGTGCAAAGATAGTACAAAATAAAAACACATGGAGAGCTATATGACCATAATAGACCTAAAAGTATCCAAATTCATCTAAGATCATCTTTGTTTGATGGAGTTTGAACCAAAGCCGCTTAATTTATCAACAGAGAAATCATCAACGAAAGTACAAAAGTATAACAAAAATATCGAACATCAAGGCAAATTCAAAACGGGGAATTCCATAAAACTGACAAAATCAAACGCTATCAATCAACGGAAAAAGTGAATAACAGATAAGAATTTAAGAGTGATACTTTTATTCGCCAGAACATTTTTTTCTAAAATAAAAAACACCATTAAGTCATTTGTTAACATAAACAAAGTATAAGTTTAAGCCTACGCTAATTACACCAGTTCATAAGGTAATAAACGAAAATTAATAAAAATAACAGTTTCAAAAATGAACAATTATTATAGAAAATAATTAATCATGAAAAGAAACAACGATAACCACAAAAAATCTGTTTATAAATGATATAGATTGAATTAAAAAAAATAGATAAATAATGGAAAGAAGGAAAATGGAAAAAAAAGATTACTTAATAAATAAAATTATTGGAGTAACATGTATAGTGAAATATAAGTGATCTCTACTTCAAATAATTGAAGCCAAGCAACTTCCTTGTACAATGTGTGTGGTAAATTTTCAAACTATCGGATAACAAGAAGTGGCTATACGGCAGTTGTAAAAATTATTTACTTCAACTTACCAGAATCAAGCTAAATACCAAATATAAAACTATCCCCTAACAAATAAGCCAAGAAACTTTGACGAAAGTTTTTTACGAAATAACGGACGGTTACTAAACCTGATTTCGCCGTTGTCGACGTAGGTAAAAACGACAAAAAGACAATCAATAAGGGTCGGTTACGAACATATACATCAATATATCTATTACAAAAAGTCTGGAAATATCGTATTAAATTTGTATAAGGGAACACATCTCTTTGCATCTCGATCTGAAATACTATATTTTCGTCAAAGGTGGACACAGATCATTCAAAGATTCGCATGACGATTTAGCTATAAGATGCTTTACAAACTGTTTTGATTCGAGCGCCACTGAAGATTCTGATGTAGAAGAAACGCGCGCTCTCCGTACCAAATTAAAAGTCTAGTATCTTTGAATAGTTTCAATAAAAGTGTTGCTGTGATTTAAATGTCGTTTTTGGAAATGCTCATATCAAAGGTGTATTAGCTACACAAGTTAGTTGGACAAAAATTCAAAATACATTTCTGGTTTTTTTTCAAGTATAAATAAAAGCGGAATTTTGAAATAATATTTCATTGTAAGCAGTTAGTTTGGCCCAATAAAAATAAGCTCAAAAACATAACTGATGCAGTATTGACTTGCAAGTGAATAATTCGACCTCATGAGAATCCGTTTTCATGTGAACTTCAATTTAACCCCTTAGCTGGAGATGGGTTACGCATGTAGTAGGTCAGTTCAGTTATTTAAAGGAAAACAATGTCAACATTGAAAGTAAAACAAGGGTGAACCATTTCGTTGACTGATTCGATCCACAAAACAATCACTCTTATACAGGTAAGAACGATGATTAACATATTATTTTAACCTATAAGATGAAATAAAACAGACCTAGAAAAATCAAATTGCATGTGGTCGCTTTTTATATATATATATATAGTTGAGGTAAATTTTATGGCCTTCCAAATACTGTTTCGATCCCTAACATCACTGAAGAGACATTAATTGTCGAAATCCGGATATGGTGTACTAATTTTTGCACCTTTTGTTTGCGGTATACCATCTTTTCCGCAAGTTTATTGTTTTTTGTTTGGTATTAGATTATTAAGTTTTAAAGATCCATTTTGTTACATCTTGTGATCCGTTTATTTGGCAATCGCCAATGGCAGTCAGCAGGGTTTAAGAACATCAGTTGTTCGACCTGTTAGTCAAATGCATTTTGTTAAAATATACTTTTTCACTTTTTTGGTCTTTTGGAAAATGTTGTTTGTGCTGTATTTAGACCATTCTACCAAGAAATTTGTTTTGCATGCACACGTATAAAAATTGCGGTTTTTATCCAACGCAATCATAGGTTTGAACGTCGTTTTCAATTAAGACTTGTTTATATTTTTTCGTTTAGGCTTGTATTATATTTTCCTTCGGGTTTATATGATCCGTTCATCCTATTTCGACTCTTTAAAATTCAAGAGGCTATTCTAAATTGAGGTATATTTTATGGCCTTCCAAATACTGTTTCGATCCCTAACATCACTGAAGAGACATTAATTGTCGAAATCCGGATATGGTGTACTAATTTTTGCACCTTTTGTTTGCGGTATACCATCTTTTCCGCAAGTTTATTGTTTTCTGTTTGGTATTCGATTATTAATTTTTAAAGATCCATTTTGTTACATCTTTTGATCCGTTTATTTGGCAATCGCCAATGGCAGTCAGCAGGGTTTAAGAACATCAGTTGTTCGACCTGTTAGTCAAATGCGTTTTGTTAAAATATACTTTTTCACTTTTTTGGTCTTTTGGAAAATGTTGTTTCTGCTGTATTTAGACCCTTCTACCAAAAAATTTGTTTTGCATGCACACGTATAAAAATTGCGGTTTTTATCCAACGAAATCATAGGTTTGAACGTCGTTTTCAATTTAGACTTGAATACATGTATATATATATATATATATATATATATATTCATATTTATATCGGATAAAAGATCGTCGGCAGTCTTCGAAGGTCATCGTTATGGTTAATTAAATGGCGTCTAAACTAAAAAAAACACACGGAATAATGATATATATTATCTAGTAGTTAAATGTTTATGACGGTATCATGAAATCACCACTGACATTTCTGTACAAAATTTTTTTTTTCAAATATTAATAAACCAACAACAAATTTAATTTAGTTTAAGGACCCAGATCATGGCCCTATCTCCTCCTGCAAGACTCAATGTTCAACGAATCCTCAAATTATTTTGTATAACTTTCAATGATTAGATTTTGATTTTTAAACAAGTAATGTATGAGGTTTTGAAATATCTGTACTGAATAATTGAAAAATAAACATGTTTTGCCTTTAGTGGATGAACTTATAAAAGATAAATCTTCTGTCGTTCGTCTCTCCTTTCCCAAGCACCGCTCTTGCAGTCTGCGTTTTTTCTACTATATATGTGCCTCCTCTGTGACGGTATCAAGCACCTTCTTCATCTAGAAGACTTGCGTTATCGGCAATGTGATTCATGCATGTTAAAAAGATGTTTCTTCAGCTGGGTTAATGGGTAGAGTTTGTCTTGTCTGTTCATCTGTTTCTTCTAATATATCCATGTAGAATAATTTATCATGTTTAATTCAAGTTTACAAATAAATATATCAATTATACAAAAATGTTTCGAATCCAAGAAAAAATGTATTTGTGATTTACTAGGCCTTCTTTTCATTCCCTTCTACGATATGAAATGTATAACTGTAAGCATATATACGCTTTTAATAACTTACTAAATTTATCAAATGATATTTTTATCCAAAAACAAATAAAAAACAATATAAACAAAACTGAATTGGATCCATTGATTTAATCAAACGTTTCGTCAATACGAAGATGTGATATTAATGCTATTTTTTTCAACTATAAATAGCCAATCATTTCAGAGTAAATATAGACGATATGGTTGTACAGACCATAAGATCTATTTGGATAAAAATAAGTATTTTAATTTGGTTAATCAACTGAAGTGACTATGTTAAAAACAAAATTAAAGCATATGTGCATGAAGTAAAGAAAAATGATTTGGAGATGATATACCAAAGAAGACTTTCATATTACCGGCTCAGATTTTATCAATTTGGAAAACCCTGATCATTTACATACTTACGTGGTTTCTGTTTTCGTCGTTTCTTATACAAAAGCACAATCAGGAATACTATAAATATCACTCCACTTAGACATATTAGAGTCAGTTTAATAGTCGTAGGAATTGTGCCTGTAAAATAATATATAAAATATCACTGGACGTTTATTCGTACGCACTGATTCTTTAGTAACACAAAGAAAAAGACAGCCGAGATAACACGACAAAAAAAAATGAAATATATAAATGAACTCATCTGACAAATTTAACATCCGAATCACAGGTGAATAAAAAATATTAAGTGTATTTTTATTACTGACATTCAAAATTATAACTGTTTTTACATTGCGCCTCAACACGATTTCTTGGATTTTGGGGACCTGAAAAAACAATATATATCATTTCAATTTTTGAGTATTTTATTTAGCTTTAAAACTGTAGACCTTCAATTTAACTTTGGACTAATTGTGGCAGCGCAATGTATTCAACTACATTGTATTTAGGGTAAGTAATTCATTCCAATCTGCAGCAGGCACATGTTTATTTGCATCGGCATCGTAAACAGAAATTTCACGTCCTGTAGGACTTTGATCTGTGGAAATTGTTTCCTGCAAACCTGTGATAGTTCACCCCGAACCTATCTCAAGAGTATCATCTAAACACTCCTAGTTGTATCATTACCTAAAAATAAACTGAAATTAGAGTTTGTTTTTGAGAAGAACGTATCTATTAGAATTCACCCCAAGTAATTTTTGGTTTCCATTGTCAATCCATAATTAAGACCTTATAAATGTCATTAACACATGAAGATATCCATAGTTATGGCTATACATACAGTTTATATGTTGGGTCAGCGGCTGTGTAAAAAGTTTTGCATTTTTCGCAATCAAGTTTCCATGACAATGGTGACCGTTTTGAAAACTTTAAACCTTAATGCATAGCTACACATTATGGGTAACCATCCTTTAAAATTTCTTTGAAATCCACAAATAGGTCTTTGAGGAGTTGCGAGCACAAACTTTGTGACGGACGGACGAATAGACGAAAAACGGACAAAACAATATGTCTCATCTTGAAAAAATACATATTCATTATTATGTTTCTTCAATCAAATATACCAAATTTAGTTGTTAGTGGTATATAACAGTATCGTCCTGAACACGCATGAAATATTTGCCACAGGAAGTTAGGCAACCAACCAACAATCAATCAATCAGTATCAGTATAATCACGGACTTCGATCCGTGGGGATGGTTACCTGTAAAACAGTGGTAGTTTCCTCCGAATAAATCTCAGGATCAGCATCTAGAGAAGAAACTCCAAGTTGTATCATCACCAAAAATAATCAAATTTATTAGTCGATTCATGTTCGAGATACAACTCTAGCAAAATATATGAAAACAATATTTGAAATGACATTAAATATATAAGCAATGTGTAGCAGAGGATAGACTGGTTCCTGCCTATAGTTCTAAGTATCAAGTACAAGGAAGATCCCAGAACTATTATAGATTGGAGTGAACATAGTCAGCTGTGAAAATTAATAACAATTTCAAAATGCACTCCATGATCATCCCTCGTCTTACGAAAAAACACCGTTGCACAGACACACACATCCTTCAGTTGTGGATCTAGACAATTTTGAAAGGGGGTTCCAGAAAAATATCATTTTCGACAACTTGTTTTTAACTTTTACAAATTTGAGAAAAAAAGGGGGCTTCAACCCTGGGTCCGAAATTATTCTTGATACCTTTTCCTCATTTAATAAGATAGTTTAATGTACCATACAGATTAAATGTCAGATCGGATATTTGACATGTAATTTAGATAAAATCTATACAAATATTTGAGGGGAGAGGGGCTCTACAAAGAAAGTTTTGTAAAATGATTGAAAAGAATCGGTCATTTGTCAATTCCAGAATTAGCTCTGAAATAATGTTTTTTTTTATTAGAATTGCTTCCCTTAATATGGACATACTGGTAATCTGCCTGTGCAATGTCAATGAAAAAAAAAGAATATCATTTTTCCATTTTGATTTTATACTATAATAAATTACCGAATTGTAAGTGCTTTGTATTTTCAATAACATTTCCTTAGAATCAATTACACAGCTTGAAGCATTTACACATTACGAGTAAATGATGTACGTAATACACATTCTTTCAACTGATTTTCAATGGATAGGATAGCAGTATGTCCTATATTAGGGAAACAATTATTATAAGGGAAATATAGTTTTAGCATTAAACCCTGAATCAAACTGTAATTGGCAAATGGTCTATTGTCATTGATGACCTTTGAAATATAACACATTAAAAATGCATACATATCAAAACCTCTTTTAATGCTTCCATAATCTTCAGCTTTCAAAATTTTGCACTGCTTCTTATTAAAATTGAAGGTTGGTAACAATAAGAGCCAAACAATATAAATATTGCCACACTACTTCTTGACGCACAGTAAAGCTTCAGTCACGCTGTCACGTTTCGGCTATCCCGTTTTGCTACGTTTTCAAAACGTAGCGAAACGGCAATATACATAGCGAATCGTATATCCGTACTTAAAACGGCTATATACGTAGCTATGCGTGGAGTGATACGTGATCGGTCCCGTTTGTATTGAACTGCACAATACAAACGTGACTTAAAATACAAACGTAGTAGGAACGTAGACAAACGTAGTAGGAACGTAGACAAGCGTAGTAAAACGTAGAAGGAACGTAGAAATACGTATTAGAAACGTACCTGATACGTACTAAAACGTATTTGATTCTAATCACTAGGTGTTATTACGTTTTAGTACGTATCTGCCACGTTTCATTATGTTTTTGTACGGTATATTACGCTTCATGGTACGCATTACTAGGTTTCATTACGTTATTCTAGGCATTATTACAGCTCTACGGTTTCTGCAACGAATAAGTTTATAAAGAGAAAAGTGATGATGAGGGTGAATCGACGTTCATTGAATCCGATCGCATTATTACACTGCAATACTTGATGCTGTATTATCTTGTGTGCATGTAACCGGAGGAGCTGCATGTGCTCTTACAGGTTCAATGTCGGCTTGAGCTTGAAACCGGTTTTGCTAAAAATGCGACTTCCTGTCCAGTTAGCTGGTATTGGTGCTGCCAGGCAGGTAGGTACCCAACATTACTTGGTGGATTACAGAACCTACCCATGGGAACATCCAATGCAGATTGTTGAACAGAGACTCCCTTTGAAAAATTTACATAACCATATAAACAACGTTGATCAACTGTGTATCATCGATGTAGGAATTAGGTACCAGAACAGGGGTTATGTTGGGAGTTTCAAGGAAGGATAAAATAACTGTATCACTTGTATTACATTTTTGTAGTTACTTCATTATCAGGCGACGGACTAATTTTGTGGCCTCTATAACGCCCTCCACGACCCCTTCATCTGCCTCTGGTCCTCATCAGAACGGTCTGGTTTGAAACACACTAAAAAGATAAATCAAATACCGGTAGGAGGGAAATTGAAATTTAAACGACAATGTGCAACGTAAAACATTTCAAAAGAGCAATTAACATAAAAGGGAAAGACAAGATCCCACCAAAGCTTTGATTCATGTATCCACTCAACAAAAATGTTATCTGAAAAAAACCCAAAACAAAAAAATCTTGCTTTTGGAGTACAAAAAAATCAAAATTTTTAGACCAAAAAATAGGAACAAAATAATCTAATTGAAATGAAAGATGTATAAATATTAATAAAGTGTACCTCTGTTGAAGTCTCGTGATTTTCAGGAGTTACTTTGCTCGCTCTCTGCATCTCTGTCTTTTCTGAATTTTATTAATTAATGACGCCGTTTCATAGGTCAATGATCACAGCGTAGTGACACGTGATACTGCGTAGAATAAACGTGCAAAACCGTAGGAAAACGTGCGAAAAATTACTTCAACCGTAGTGAACCGAATTAGAAACGTACTGAACCCTTGTAATACGTAGTGAAACGTAAACCTGCTTTTGTGATATATTTAAGGAAATTGTTCTTTTAAATATAATTTTCTACTAACTGGAATTTGAAGGACCAAACTGCTTTTTTCTTAATATTTTGTATGCATAAAATGTGCCGACGGACCGGATAACTTCCCATAATTCGGACTATAATACTCAGTTATGAGTTCGTCGGCCCAGTTTACACATAGATAAATATATATTAATGCAGAAAAGTAACGTTTAATCCTGTACAGATGTTAAAGTAAACACGTATAGTTCGATGCCGCATCATTGATAGTTCGTTGCCATCAAAATCGTAGAAAACTGATATTATACCGCAAAATAGTAATAGATAACATTATTTCAAGATGAGGAAAAGTTTCTTTGTTTGCACAGTCGTCTATAAACAGACAGAACATACTAAAAATCCTCAAGTATTTACTTAAACACTTAGTTTTAACCAACAGGGTCCATATTTTAATGTATGGTATTTGATTTGTGAAGTTCATTGAAAAGAGGTTGGGCCTACTCATGCAAATGTGTATACTAATTTACAAACAAACAAACAAAACATAACATTTATGAATAAGTATAGAGTAATAACAGTTACCCTTATTAAGAAGAATTGGGATACAGATACTCGAACGTAAAAAAACCACGAAAAGTCAGTATAAACACGCTAGTCTGGAAACGCAGAAATAACCCGAAAAGTTCATTACCATTCTGTACCATGGGTTCTTTTGGTCTGGAGAGAGACTTTTAAAAAAACATAACTTTAATGATTGTCGCCTAAAAAATTCTTTGGATGTTTTCGATAAATTACGTGCTTTTGGTGGTCCTTTTGATTCGGTTGACAGTTGTTTTGTCTTTTCCGCTCTTTACATTACACTTCCACACAATCTTATCAAACAAAAGTTTTCCGATTTAAATTAATGGTCGTTCGATAAATCTAGTTGCAAATTCATTTGCTGCAACTCATATAAAGCCTTTTTCTCAAACGAGAAAGGTAAATATGCTAGATATACTTACTGGAGCTGTGATGAGATGATTACAGCCATAATTTTTTGCCTTGACAACATTTATGTACGTTTCGGCAATGAAGTTTATCGACAAATTGTATGTATTCCTATGGGCACCAATTGTGCCCCTTTAATATCAGACTTGTT